CATTCAAGTCCTTGGTTGATCTCTTAGTCAGACCCCCCACCCCCAGCCCTCCCCTGCTGTCCTGCTGAAGTTTGACAGTCTGTTCGATGCTTCTTTGTGTCTGTATCTATTTTTGTTCATCGGTTTATGATGTTCTTTATATTCCACATATGAGTGAGATCATGTGATATTTATCTCTCTCTCTGACTGGCTTATTTTGCTTAGCATAATGCTCCCCAGTTCCACCCACGCTGTTGCAAATGGTAAGAATTTGAATTGGGGCTCTTTCAAATTGCTTGTGAAATTCCTAATTGTAGAAAGGCCATAAAGAGACGAGTTACATTGTAGATGTAAACATGTATCCCAATTTGAAAAGATGGACATAAAGACACGAAAAACTCACAAAAGATAAGGTCAGCTAAGGCCAATCCTGGAAGAAACTGAGAGTGGTCAGGAAAGGCATCCTGAAGCAGGACTGCTTAGAGGCAAGCAGGAATGGAGGAGGCACTATGTTGCTAGATAGAAATACAGAGCTGGAGGCTGGCTGGTGGAGATGGGAAGTATCTCAGAGTAAAAAAATATGTGTATCTTCATAGTAAGAAAAAGATACAGGTGGGTGGTGTGGTAACCACAAGCTTCACTGATAAGAGACTTACTCTCCACTAGAGCCAGGGTGTCTCAATAGCTTCCACCAGTTACATTTCCTGATGCTCCTGGTATTAAAAATTTAAGAAATGTCAAAACATGCCTGTGCAAACTGTGGTGTGTTTTGAATACTTGTTACATAATTCAAACTCACAGACAGTGAGTTTTTGGCATAACAAGCTACATCGTATAATAATGCTATTCATAAGGCAATGAAAGAATTTTTAAAATATGGCTTACTAGCGTACAATGGTGTAGTCCAGGAATGGGAAACAAGGCAAATGCTGTCAGACAACCAACTCGCTCTTTCATTCCTGTCAGGATGTCTATGTTCTGCACAGAACGCATCATGCGTGCTTCACAGCAACTCTGACTCTGAGGTGAACCTGAGACCCAGGCCCAGTGGCCCCCCTGGCCTTCTGCTGTCATCTCCACCCGACAGGCCCTCAGTGGGGTCTGTTTCCAGAATGCAGTCCTTACCGCCTCTCCTACCTTGTTATACGTGCATTGCTCTCTACATCTTGCCAAGCAATCCAGACATATGAGTGCTGCTGCCTGACTTCATGCCTTTATCATCTCCTTCTTTGGCTGTTACCCTTGTGTGTTAACTGCTATCTGCTTCTCCCTCCAGGACAGTCTCCATATTGCTGGCAAAGATCTCCATAAATATTGTTGATCTGAACATGTCACAACCCAGCCTCCAAATCATAAGTAGATCCCCTGATCCCATAGGATGACATTCGAGTTCTTTAACATGACATATAATGCCCCACACAAGGGTCTCCAACCCACCTTTGCAGTCTGATTTCCCATTATTTTGCCAAAACTCCACACCTCCTGCTTTTCCACGAAGGTTCCATGCTCTTCCAGTTCTCTCTGTTTTCCTTCCTGCTATTACCTCTCCCTGAGAAACCCTTCTCTTCTAGCGAATCCTTCCCCCTCTCTCCTGTGAAAAGTTCCCCAAAGCTCCCAGTGGGAGTGGCTTTCTACTCTTCTAGCCTATTTGTCATGCATGTCTTCAGTACAGTGAGTGTTAGTGAGATCACAGAAGAGAGGGGCTGGGATATTTTTTTTTATTGATTTCAGAGAGGAAGGGAGAGGGAGCGAGAGAACCATTGACTGGCTGCCTCCTGCACACCCCCACTGGGGATTGAGCCCACAACCTGGGCATGTGCCCTGACCAGGAATCCAGTTGAGACCTCCTGGTTCATAGTTCGACGCTCAACCACTGAGCCATGTAGGCTGGGGGAGACTGGGATTTTTAAACTTTATCTTTGTGTATCCTATTCCTGCACCGTGCACAGTAAGGGCTCAATAAATACTGATGGGATGATTGAATTAATTGTCACTCATACCCCATGCATTCAGAAGCAAATGCAAGTTCAGTTGCAAACTACCTCTTGCAAACAATTTTGCTCCACAGCCACTCATCATGATTGCTCACAATTTTCTGGATGGTTCTTAAAAGTAGTTCTAATGGTTGCAAAATGGTTCTTGGTTTCTGGACCCCCCCCCCCCCCCCCACGCCACCAGCCTCT